AAGATAGCCATGCCGCTGTCTGCATTAAGTATATTTTATTCATGCTTAACATCGATTAGTAACAATGAACAGCCATTTTTCCACTGTACCTTGGTTAATACACTGTATAGGATTATCTTTGAGAACTGTTTATTTACCCAGAATACAAATGCTAGTCATGTGCTGAGTGTTGCATAACAAAAAGAAACATTATGATGCAGTTGTAGTATTTTTCAAGCACTTTCCTACAACCTTTTTTGATGAGAATTGACTATCAGAGTGGATTATGCGTTCACTGAAGTGGTTCATGAACTTTAAACACCCAGAAGGTGTGATTGCTATGTTGGATAACAGTGCTTCAAAAATATAACTTTGCTGTTCAACGTCAGCAAGGAAACACAAATAGGCTATCTTGTCATCCAATAAAGGTCTGACCATTTATTAAGTGTTATGACGTGACTCGTGCAGCAACAGTGACATCAAAAAAGGACAGTGAGATTGGACATCGTGCCTACAGTACATGAGCTGAAGGACTCTAATTTAGCTTGAGTGACTATTGCTGTACAGCAAGTTGTTACATGACCACCAAGAGATGGTGAATAAAATGCAGATATAACTCTTGGCATACGTTAAAGGTGTGAGATGGTGTGCTTCAAAGGCATTTCAAATCACACATACATGGTGTCAGATCAGTAATGCAACTTGAGGTCATAAAACAGGAAATTCTCCAGATTTTTTCCTGATGGAAGAATCAAAAGTTACTAGCAGAGCCATGGAAGTTTGATACTTTCCATTACGGGAGCCAGTGGGATAAAGCGAAGAAGCAACATTTTCAGATATAATATTTTTGTTCTTTAGTTCTCTTATGTATCTTGGTTTTTGTATAGTTTTGTATATTCATCCCTACCTTGTTTCTGTACTTTTGGCATTGCCATTCCTGCATCATACTTAATTTTTCTTTGTTTGTTTGATGTTATGCACAAAGTTATACAATGGGCTATCTGTGCTCTGCCCCCACGGGTATCGAAACCCGGTCTCTAGCGTTGCAAGTCCGCAGACATACCGCTATGCCACTGGGGGCTTAATTTTTGCAAATTTATTTATTACTTGTATATATATGTGTGTGCGTTTATGTGTTACCCATTTCTTTTCTTTTTCACCAAAGGTTACAAAATGGTATTTTCAGTTTTACCTTTTTACCTTTTAAATCCTTCCAGCTACATACATTTTTTTGTGTCAATCATGTCTCAGAGTAATAAAACTTTTCATTTTCTGATTTATTTTAAACATTTTGAAAAATTAAGCTATCTGAAACGAGTAGTAAGTGGGAGGACTGTATGATCAGGCATATATTAAAAGAAATTTACTTGTATTAATCTCAACACTGAGGTCGAACAACTTATGTAAACGTACAGACAATACTATGAAATCATAACGACATGTAACTTGATCGAACTCGTAATGGATTTGGAAAAGAAGTCCACCAAAAGTTGATATAGTAGTTTCTCTAGAAAGAATAGGTATAATTCTATCTCCCTGAATAAGAATACATGTGTTGTTTTCCTGAAAGGGGGCTTAAGGCCGCATGGAGGGGTCACCTGTTTTAACCACTCGCTCCAATATACAGTGGTGTGTTGTCTGTTAATCAGTACACACTAAAGTGACGTCACATAAGGGATGCTTATCGTTGAAAGTAGTAATGTTGTGAAGTCAGTAAAACGTGCGCATGCCATGAATCACAAGAAGAATTATATACTCTGTAGGTTACAACACAACATGACATATGAACTTCAATAGCAAGAAATAAAAGCATTTGTTAACCTTAATTTTAGTTTTATTTACTCCTCAAAATAACATTTTCGGGAACCCTGCGGAAGTACATCTAGTTATAGGTTTTTACATTTCTAATTCATCAGATATTATCAGCTTCTTGTAGTAAACTAGATCCATTCTCAAGAAATTTCACCCATTAAATCCAAACAGCATGTAATCTTACTATAAAGATGATCCATTATACGTGCTTGTATGTGCGTGTCTATGTGTTAGCACCCATCACCCAGAGTTGGCTTGGTCGATTACGGTCATTTTTGGTAAGGCAACTGGAAACTGTCAAACTGTGAACATAGGCTATCTTGTTTTAGGATGTTTGTCCGAAACGGGGGATAAAAAATAGAGCATATTTCACACTTTCTCACATATCTTTAACTTTGAATCTAAAGACACAAGTACTTCATCAGTTAAATTATTCAATTATTACCTTCCACAAAGCAGAGTATACAATTAGCATTTAATGAGGTCATTAGGGATATAATAGCAAAAGAAAGAAGGAGATTCATTATCTAACATTGTCCTTCATGCGATTTTTGTTTCCTTAACGGCCACCTTCAACTAATATTACTCAGTAAACATTCGTATACTGTTTTCTGGCACTAACGGATTTCCAGAGGCTTGTCTGTGTTTTTGGAACGTTAGTGGCCAACTCAGATTTTCAGTTAAAAAATGGTATTTCAAAGGTGGACTCTCGAAAGTCTTAAAATGCTGAGAAATAAGCATGGTTGTGTTGAAAAGACCATAATTTTGACTTTGAGATATTTAACTCATATTGTAAAGATTAACATATCCTAAAATGTTTTTGGAGGGGAGTTGGAAACATTATCAGATTTGCGGTGGATATAAAGGGATTCTCAATATGTTTTTAACATTTCTGTGAAGAAAGCTTGTCTGACAAACCTAAAGATTTTGAAAATGAAAAAATGGAAAAAAATGTTTTTTTCATTTGCACGTTAGAAAAGCTCAGAGCTTATTTTCTTTCAACTAAAATATAATATTTTAGGTACATAAACTTTAAGTATGATATATTGTTCTATTGACTCTTACTTAACTAAGTTATAACCATTTCAGAACTTTTAAAGCAATACGATTTCACATTAGTTGTTAACAAAAAAACTTGAATCATTTAAAGAGTTACGAGACAATATAGAATGTTTTTAACAGAACGTAGTTAAAAGGACTGTTCAGGCAATATAGTATTGTTAAAATACAATAAAAATACAAAACTAAAATAAAAAATAAGCATATTAATTTAATATCTACCCCTTTCCCCCGTTCAGGTGATCCTGCTCGACATGGCCAAGTGGTTAGGGCGCTCGACTTGCAGTATGAGAGTCGCGTGTTCGAATCCCCGTCACACCAAACATGCTCGCCCTTTCAGCCGTGGGGGCGTTATAATGTGACGGTCAATCCCATTACTTGTTGGTAAAAGAGTAGCCCAAGAGTTGGCGGTGGGTGATGATGACTAGCTGCCTTCCCTTTAGTCTTACACTGCTAAATTAGGGACGGCTAGCGCAGGTAGCCTTCGTGTAGCTTTGTACGAAGTTAAAAACAAACAAACATATGATCCTACCTAAGGCTCAAATCATTTTAAAAATTCGCTGTTAATAATAAGTGTGTCGTTTATTTGTATCTTTTTATTGGAAGAGATGATAATGGGAGGTGGGGGGGGGGGGTTGTGGTATGTTTATTCCAATACGATGTTTTAATTTTTTTTCAATTTTTCACACATAGTATCTTCATAATACAATCCTCTTTATACCGTGTTTCTATATTGTCTATATATTAAATGTTTTAATTTCACTTAACTATCTGGCATAGATAAATACTAAAACTGACCCATCATCTAAAGATGTACGTTTTATATAATTAAATTTACAGCTACATTCGTGATTGGAAGATGACTGGCACTATCTCAAACCACTTAACGAAACATTTACACCAATCGGTACGTGTTTGGAGAATATAACTGAAACTTATTGCCCGCCGCGGGTATCGAAACCCGATTTTTAGCGTTATAAGCCTACTGACTTACCGCTGAGCCACCAGGGGGCCCTCAACTGCTTTCATAGTACCTTATGAAAAACACCTTCATTTGGAACTATTTTTCCACTGTAACATATTTGCAATAAGATTAATATTTTCTACCCCTTGACTGCTTACTGCTGAAGAACAAGAGCAAATACACATTACGAATTTAAAAGAAAAAAAAACAACTTTAGTTACTGAAACTATTGTGGTAATACTCTACAATAGGGGTGGACGTTTCGCGAGCTGGATAAGGATTTTCAGTGGTTACAGAGTGGTTCTTTATTTTTTATTTTTAAACAAAGCCAGATTGGGCTACCTGCTGTGTCTACCAGGGGGAATGGAACCCCGGATTTTAGCGTTTTAAGTCCGTAAGCTTATCGCTGTTCCAACGGGGGACGTGTAGCTCTTTCAATGTTTCTAATTTTTTGGTTAGGTAATACATATCATAGAATGATTATATATTTATACAAACGTTACCTAGCAAAAGAAGCCACTCTTCTGTCAATCAGTAATGTAGTTGAATAGTAAAATGCCAGTTTGTATTGAATTTTTTACACAGTTTTTCTCCAGGAACATTCTTCTTGAGTACTTATGTAACTGAATAACAACTTTAATATTTTATGTTGTCATCTTATGTGTTTGGAAGAGACAGTCGCGTCATAATCTGTATCAAGACGAATACATATAGTTTTTATTCCAGTCAATTCATAACAGGAGAAGTTAGACGTTCGTTCGTTGATAGAAAATACAAGGGAACGTATATGATATTGATTAGTTGTGGATGTATTTTCAATACAACAGTTATTTATGTGGTCAAATATACTACAGGTATTACTTTTATTAGAAACAGCTTGTCTGTGTTTTTCAACAGTCTGTTTGTTTGTTTTGAATTTCGCGCAAAGCTACACGAGGGCTATCCGCGCTAGCCGTCCCTAATTTAGCAGTGTAAGACTAGAGGGAAGGCAGCTAGTCATCACCACCCACCGCCAACTCTTGGGCTACTCTTTTTACCAACGAATAGTGGGATTGACCGTCACATTATAACGCCCCCACGGCTAAAAGGCCGAGCATGTTTGGTGGGACGGGGATTCGAACCCGCGAACCGCAGATTGCGAGTCAAGCCATGCCGGGCCCTTTTCAACAGTCATTGGACAACTTACCCATGAAGGACAACGATGAAGAGGAGGTGTGGGGGGCCTCAAATCATCTTCTTCTTCCCCGTGATGTACCAGAGGTGGTGGGTAATGAATATCTCCGCTAGGTGTATAAATCTCAGCATAATCGTGCAGCTCGTCGTCTGTCTTAGCTGTCCTTCTTCTTTCGTTCCCACGAAACTCTGTCAGGACCAGTTTTCTATGACCAGCTAACTTGCGATCCAGACTACCGTAAGTAGCAGTAGACGACTTACTCTGGTTACTCTTAGCTCCGACGTGGGGACTAGCTGGGGACCCAGAGCGAGATGAGGAAGAATGTAAGGATCCCCTTCCTTCCTGCACGTGTTTAGTAGTCACTCGATGTCGGGGAAGAGGCACTGGAGCCTTTTTCTGGTCTACGTTAGCTGGTTTTCCGTGATTATCACCGGTGGAATTAATTAAGTTTTGCGCACCTACATGCTTGGGGAAACAATGAGGAGCCAGTGGCGTCATTGTATCTATGACTACTTGATCTGAGTCTAACTGAAAATTCAACCTTCTGTCAAGTTCCGAACGAATGTCGTTCACAAACGTCGAACTTTCGCCATCTAGCTCTATGAAATCATATTTCTTTCTTTCAATAGCTACTCTAGGCGGAGTGGAGCGAATGCGAGATTTCTTTTTGGAATAGTCCACAACGGCATACGTAGCATGATTGACATCAGATTCCGAAAGGGTAAAGACATCTGGAGGTAATTCGATGCTCTTCACTGTCGTAGGAGAGGATGGCTCTGGTGTTTCCGAGGGTAAAACATCGTCCTCGTAGCTCCCTCTGGAAGAATCCTGGCAAAATGATTGATCGATTTAGTTAACCAAACATATACATACGTATAAATATACATTTCCCGGTAAAAAATCACAATTCACGTCCTGGTAAAGTCTTCAAATTGTAAAAAGGTTATTGATTAATTGATGTAAAATGCTAATACCTAATGAAGGACTATAAACATGAGAACAGTAAATTAAGTATGGTATTCATGTAGATAGTTATAATCCTATTTTGCGCATGTCCAGTAAGAAAGCCTGTATACCTTTCGTACGCCATTTGAGTTAAACAGTTCACCCCGTAACAGCTGATAGTGAGGCAATTTGTTTTTAATTGTTCAAATAACCTGGTTACCACATTCCTCCTCTCCTATAAACAAGACATGGTTCCCACAAGCTAATTTTCATTACTGAGAATTCTCCTCTAACTGACTAAAAATTTTCAGCAAAATGAACTGTAACCATACTTCAGATTTCGTTTAACATTTTAATCAACGACAAGAGCGTAGGTACTTTCGTCAATCCTACTCTGCAAAATCCATCAAAAACTCAAGCTTAAACAAAGAAAAATATGGGTATCTTTCTTTTTTTATTGATCTAAGAGAATGGGCTGAGGAGGATTTTATTGTTTGAAACACACTTCCTTATGGTACTGTGGAATGGAACTTTCCTCATTTCTTTGAAAAGCTGAGTAGAAGAAGTTTCAAACCAATTCAGTGTTCTTTGTTGTTGTTGTTTTTGAAAAAAAAAGGAGTGTAAAGTTTTGTTTTCGTTTTGATTAAGCAATATGTGCCCTGCCTACTGCAAGTATCGAAACCCGATTTTTAGCATTATAAGCCCTCAGCATACCGCTAAGCCACCGAGGGTAGGGGAACAGTAAAAGGATTAAATTATCGCCTAAGTGTAGTCTTTAACTAACATCTTTTTATGCTGTCAACAATAACCTCAACTTTAACATGGTATTAATTTAACTGTTGTGAATGTCCGTTCTGGTTTGTAACTAAATATAACGGAAATGATCCGTGAAATATTCTCACCTCTGTACTTCCTCTATCTTTTTGTTTGGCTGTGGATTGTTGGTTAACTTGTCCCAACTGCACGAGACGATTTTTGAGGAGTTCCAGTTGCTCATTACACTTTTCGTTCTGCTCTCTGAGGTGCTGGTTCTGTTCCTCCAGCTGTCAAAAACAAGGAAGAACTGGCAAATTCCAGCATACACTCTTTTGAAGCATCATGAACCGAAGCTAGTTATCTTATTCAATAAATCGAACACGAAATGAGCAAGGAGATGACGACCGAGCCGAGAGATGTTGTGAAGACCGATCGACCTCTTGTCAATCACAGTATCAGGGGTTAAATACATATATACATGACCCGACAGGATGGGAAGACCCGATCATTATGTACGAGAAAAAAACATTTAAGTTTACAAGGAACTCTATTACTGAATACACAAAGAACACCACGAGCTTGCTACGAAAAAATCTGAACTTAAAATATATTTGGAGGGACAATTTAGTTAGGGAATAGAAATCAGTGAAAATTAGTCTAAATGTGTTTACTGAATCACCCCAAGATTAAAAAATTAAATATATTATGTAACTAAACTGGCATCAAAAGAGAGAGAAAAAAAATTTACATGTTAAACTACTCACATCTTTTAACTTATTCGTCACCCATTCTTTAATCTTGGCAGCTTTGGCTTCCACTTGTTTGGCATCTTGCACCCGCAACTTTTTCTAAAATAATGTAATAATAATAACGATGTAATAATAATAATAACAATGTTATAATAATAATAACAATGTAATAATAATAATAACAATGTAATAATAATAATAACAGTGTAATAATAATAACAACAATGTGTAATAACAATAACAATGTGTAATAATAATAATAACAATGTGTAATAACAATAACAATGTGTAATAATAATAACAATGTAATAATAATAATAACAATGTGTAATAATAATAACAATGTAATAATAATAATAACAATGTGTAATAATAGTAACAATGTAATAATAATAACAACAATAACAATGTAATAATGATAATAATGTAATAACAATGTAATAATGATAATAATGTAATAATGATAATAATGTAATAACAATGTAATAATGATAATAATGTAATAACAATGTAATAATGATAATAATGTAATAATGATAATAATGTAATAACAATAACAATGTAATAACAATGTAATAATGATAATAATGTAATAACAATGTAATAATGATAATAATGTAATAACAATGTAATAATGATAATAATGTAATAACAATAACAATGTAATAATGATAATAATGTAATAACAATAACAATGTAATAATGATAATAATGTAATAACAAATAACAATGTAATAATAATAATGTAATAACAGTAACATTGTAATAATAATAATTTGCTCAAATAATGTACGTTCGCAGAATAATTCTGATTTGTTTAAAAAGTACACACTGTTACATAGTTTATATAAGTCTTGTTATAATAAAACTCTGTCAGCTTTTATCCACTTCTGAGTAGTCTTGGGATCGTCTAAAGTCATTGTTTCAACCCCTTTATTAGCAAAAGTATAATGCTTTATAATAATTGATACAATTATTTAACCTTCTACAACCTTAGTGCAACCCTCTTATTATCAAAACTTGCATTAATTGATCCAATTCTTTTATTATGCAAGGTGTATAATATAGCTCTTACTTTCCATTGCTTTCTGAAAATTCGTTTTCTCTAGAAGCTTAACCTCCATGTCGAATAAGATTTGAATATCACTGTTATAAAAACACATATAACATTATCTGATAATGCTAGGCAATCATATTCTGTATGACTGTTCCGAACGAAGCCCGGTTGTTACCAGAAAAGTTTTATTCCACAGCAACTGAGAAGCCATAAAATTGCCACAAACAGCCATATTTTACGGCTATTTAGAAACTCAAATATCATCGGAAAAATCATATCCTGCTTTTCTGAGCACATAGACCTCTAACTCCAGATAAACTTTATCGACTGACATTTTAGTTTTACACCTGCTATCAAGGTCCGTCTAAACTGAAAAGACGAATCAAAATATGTACGTGTGTGTGAGGTATTTCGGTTACCGAGTATATGCGCTTACGTGAGTAGATATTGCAAATAACAGGAGATTCTAAGACGTTAAAGATAGAAGCAGATATGTAAGATTTGTGTGATGACAAACATAAATAGGAGTCACTAGAGGTTACACTCCTAGGCTTAAGTTTGGACCCTGGTATGTTATACGGCCTTCCCAAAATTCCGGGATAGTATATTCATTAGTAGTGAGTGGCTGAAGTATAGGTACAAGGAATTTAGCAAGTTTGTAACCAGGTGTGCCTATAGTGGAAAGAATGGGTCGGAGGGGGGAACCTGTTTTATGGACTTAATTCACGTTCAAAGTGGAAGGAATAGCTACCCCCCTCAGATAATCTCTTCATGGCGAGCTTTGATGTTACCTCTCTCTTTACAAATATTCCCTTAAATGAAACCATTAACATATGCATATCTGAGCTTTCGCGTAATAACATTCCTCTAAATGGCTTTTCTGAGAATCAAATTAAGACCATGCCTAGATCTTACCACTAAAACTTTCCTGTTCAACAACACCTTGCATGAACAAATTGATGGCGTTGCGATGGGCTCTCCACTAGGTCCAACTTTAGCCAATGCATTTCTCTCTCATTACGAACAGAAATGGTCTGTTCTATACAGAAGGTATGTGGATAATACTTTTATTCTTTTTAATAACAGTGATCAATGCTCAAGATTTTTAGAATACCTTAACTCACAGCATCCTGCCATTAAATTTACATGTGACGTTGAATATAATAAAAATTTATCTTTTTTAGACATGCTCATTAACCGTAATGCTAATGGATTTTCCACATCAATTTACCGGAAAAAGACGTCCACTGGTCTCCTTACACACTTTGATAGCTTTATCCCGTTTACGTATAAACGAAACCTTGTTACATGCTTACTAAACAGAGCTTACAACCTGTGCTCCACATATCTTAATCTACACTCTGAAATTTCGTTCTTACATGACATCATGAAACGTAACTGCTATCACAACACTTATTAGAAAACATTACCAACACC